AGGGAAGAGTGAAAGGAGAAAACGGAAAAGGGAAAAGGGAAAAGGAAAAAGGAAAAAGGTACCATCTTTGACCCAAGGAGTATTTGATTGCATACAAATATTGGGTTTAGTGTTACTGATGGCTGAATTAGCATTAGCAGCCTATCAGCTCTCTAACTTGTTCTAACAAGCTTCAGAAGCAGCAGTGGATTAAGACAGCCAAGCATGATCCAGGTCTTACAGTACTACAAATACTCACTCTTCTGGTCTTTAACTGCCCTTTTCTGTGATCATGGGCAAGTCACTGAGAACCAGATTCACAAAAGAATTAAGTATGTAAAGTCCAATTTTAAGTTCCCTATTTAAAAATCACATAAAAAATACTTTAGAAAGTCCCTCTAAAGGTCATCTAGTCCAATCTGCTGCTCAATACAGGGCTAACCTCAAGAATCAGGTTGCTTAGAGCCCTGTCTAGTCAAGTTTACGATACTGTAAGGATGGAGATCTCACAATCTCTCTCAGCAGCCTCTTCCAGAATTTAACCACTGTCATGGTAAAGAAATTTTTCCACTTGTTCAATCAAAATTTCCTTTGTTGCAACTTTTGACTGTTATTTGTCCTTTTGCTCTGTTTTGCCCTCTGAGAAGAGTCTAACTCTGTCATCTCTATAACCACCCATGTAGTGATGATGGAGCCCACATCATCACCTTACCCAGGAGTGGAAACTTCTTGAGATACAGGGTGGCTGAAGTAGTTTATGAGAGAGTTAGGGTTTACAAGTCAACAGTAATAGAATATTAAACAAGAACAGCTGACAAAATGGTGATGCATGATTAAGGAGAGAGAAGATGCCAGATATATATACTATATATTCCAGACTATTCTAGCTGCTTAGCAAAAGTGTTGTCTTCAGGTGAAAAATGCTTTAAGTTTCTAAACCGTACTAAGAGAGATTCATTTTGGGAAATCCCCAGATAACTTGAAAGTGACTTACAAGATGTATTTTAAGCAATCTGGCTGTTGAGACCTCTTTGTGTCATGACCACTACAGAGAATGTAAAGAACCATCTGAGGCCTGCCAAACTGATTCACTTGCACTTCAGGAAGATACAGGCATTAGGACTGAGATCGTCCCTGATCCTTGTGCAGATGCATGAGGATGTGGAGAAAAGTACTGAGTGCCTCCCCACCTCTTCTGGTTTCTGAATGCAAAGTCTGTTCCTTCTACATGCATTGAATCAAAAATGGAAAGGCCAAAAGGAGTTTGAGGCACACAGTTGTCCCAGTTTCCTCAGTAAGGAAATGAACACTACCTACCAACCACTTGGATGATAGTGTCACTCTAATAGACTGTTCTACGTGACTTTTACATCATGGATTTTGGTTCTGCATTGTTTATGTTGCACTGATCTGCATTTAAAGATTTATCCATAAAGAAGAGAAAATGCAGCAGAGATAAGTATTCAGACAAGGGAAAAATACTTTTTTGTTCGTATCTAATAAATATATCACACAGGGATAGTGAAAGGAATTACTTAGTTAATATTTCCAAAATACTTCCATGTATGGCTACAGTATTGTAATTATACACAGAACAGATGGCAAGACAATGTATACATGTAGATAATCTAGCTTTCCTCATAGCTGCCTCAGGGATTTGTACCAAATCATGCTTTTACTTGTAAAGTTTTGTTCTGCTGACTGTATAGGAGCTAAATGAGACACTAACTAAAGACAGAAAAAAAAATCAAACCATGTGTGTTAAATCACATTCGCAGCTAGTCTGAAAAGGATGAAATGTTTGCTGTTTTTTTACAGTGAATAGCAGGAAAGAGTTAAATTCATACATACACGCACTCACAAACACCGCAAAATGGCAGTACTTCCGTGGAGCATTTATTGTCGATGAGTGGTTCCTCCTACCAAGTCAAGAGCTATGTTGGTTTGGCAGTGTTGAAACAGATGGAACTGGAACAGCTTGTGAAAAGCTGAAGACTGAGAAAAGCTAACACTTTGGCCCTCTGAGAATAAAAACCCATCATATTCACAGAAGTGATGTAGTGTATTAAGTCAGTATGTAGTTAACCAAAGTGAGACGGCAGAAAAAAAGATCCATGCTGTGGAGGGACACTGTTCCCTCACACTTCACTCTGTGATGCAGCCAATGGACTGGCAAGGAGGATTATTGAGCCTGATGAATGGATACTTTAATGTTAGGAATTCCAAATATGAGAGAATTCCTAGAAAAGCCTTGGATTTTGCATAATTTTCCCCTCATTTTCTTCACCACTACATACTTTGCTTTGTAGACCACCATATACATGTTGCTGCCTAATAATTAAACAAGCTACCAGTACATTTGTTTTGGTTGTCCATAACAGCCCTTTGCCTCTTGAAGATATACCTTCTAATGAAACATAACAGTACTGAGCCAGAAGTTTTCTGTGGGACAGAAAGAAACACAGGGACAAAGAGCAACTACTCTGAATTAATGTATTTCAAGAAACAGTGTACACTGCAATGTACGCTTAAGTATGACAGCTGTTAGTTATCAAATTAAGACATCAAACATATGATACAGTATATACATACAATGGCGGGGAAAAAAGGACGTGATACATATTGTCATCTGTGCAGCTTCTTTGGTACCACCAAGAAAGAGAGAATAATACATTTAAAAAAGCTACATAGTTTCTCTCCCACCCCAAACAGATCTGCTTTTTCTAGATGCCTGTTTTTCCCATAAGCATGGCTCATGGCTCAACAATTTTTAAATTTTTTGCAGGGGTCACTTTTAATTATGAAACCGCATTACACCTGAGGCATTCAGGTAAGTTATTCAGGTATGTCAGGTAGTTATTTCCATTAAAAGGCATTTTCAGTTCAGTTTGCATAGCTTTAGTGAGGTAGTTCTGGCTTCTTCCAAGGCAATTTTGAGATTCTGTTAGTCTTCTTCCACTATTGTTCCCCAGGACAAAATTGACATCTCTTACTTTGTAGCCTGTAAAAATCAGGTAGTGTTTTCTAGTTAAACAGCTTACCTAAGTAGAACACTATATAATGACAGTCTGAGATAACAGTACTTCCTAAACAGATGTGCTCTGAAGTTTCAGTGACACTTTGTTGGAAAATCAAGTGGAAAATACTTGAGGCAAATTGTCCTCCATCTTCTTTCCTTGGGGGAAGTGGTAAGCTCTTCTTTTTCATGTATTTATTTCTTGTACACGTACACGTTTGAATACATAAATGAAGATCCTGTTGTCAGACTGACGGTCTTTTCACCTTCTGTAGTACTCTTGCCACAAAACTGATGAAGGACTTCTCTGAGCTAACAGTGCTATTTGCATTCTGTCTGCCCACATTGTACATATTCCACTGTCACTTGCAAATTAATGTAATTCAAACGGCTTACTCTAAACTTCATCTTTCTCAGGCAAAAAAGCACTTTTAGGAACTTTGATTCTGAGATCTACACAAAAAGTTGTTGGGAGCTCTACCTTATGCGCTAGAAGTGCACATGTATATTTCAGTCTGGACTCAGAAATGCCCGTGATCTGTCAGTTTTGATTGCATTTGTTGAGATCTAAATCTGGGTATATCTCAGCTGTCAGAGTATTTTGCCTTAGATACCAGTCACAATTTTGTCTCTCATAGAGGACTCAGTTCTCCATCACTTCAGAAATTTAACTGTTTGGTCGCTGAAAGAAAGAAGGAAAACAAAGCTCTGAAAATAAAGTCTGCCTTCTTATGCATGTAGTGACTAGTTGCAGCTTGTAGAAACCTGTGTTTGTAAAAGGATAATGCAGCTGAACTTCAGGATTTTACACTACCATGTACTGTAACACTAAACTCCAGGTCCCTACAATGATATGGATACGTATGTACACAGAAATCTGGAAGTCTAGCTTGGTCCTTTGTTCTGAATGGCACAGAAGAGCCAGTCTTGGTAACTTTTATTTAGATAAATAACTTGATAATTAACCAGATAATTAACCCATTAAAACCAGAATGCCTTAATCCACTCAACCATTCTAACCCTTCTGCAAGCATTGATACAAAATTCTTCTATCCAAGTTAGGAAGTGTAACTCTGAATGGGTAGGCAGCTACATGGGTAAATAACTGGTTGGATGACTGGGCTTCAAGAGTGGTGGTTAATGGGTCATTCTCTGCCCTAAGGTAACAAGTGGAACACGGGTGTCCACTCTGAGATCTGTCCTGTTCAACATCTTTACCAGTGACTTGAGGATGCAATGCAGTGGACTCTCATGAAATTTGCAGGTGATATCAAAGCAGGGGGGAAGGGGGCAATTGATGTGCTCAGGGGCAGGGCTGCCATCTAGAGGGACCTAGAAAGGCTGAAGGAATGGGACAACAGGAATCTTATAAAATTCAACAAGGACAAATGTAAAATCCTGCACCAGTCAAGGAAGAAGTCTTTGCAAGAAAACAGACTGAGCAACAGCTCTGGAGAAAAGGACGTGGGGGTCCTGGTAGGCAACACACTCAACATCAGCCAGCAGCATGCTCAAGCAGCAAAGGCTGCCAACAGCATTGTTGGCAGTAATGACAGGAGCACAGCCAGTAGCAGGAGGGAAAAGATTATTCCCCTTTACTTGACACTCATTAGACCACATGTAGAATACTGCATCTGGTTTTGGGACCCCAGTAAAAGAAAGACATTGATAAACTGGAGCAGATTCAGCAGACTGCTGCTGTAAGGCAGACACTCCAATCCTTTAATTATTTCAGTTGCCCTTTACTGGACTTGTCCAGTATGTCCATGTCTGTCCTAAACTGGGAAGCCCAGAGCTGGACACAGTACTCCAGATGTGGCCTCACCACTGAGAGAAAGGGAAGGATCACTTTCCTCATGCTGCTGCCTATGCTTTTCCAAACACAGCCCAGAGTGCTCTTGGCCTTCTTAGCTACAGGGTACATTGCTGGCTCCTGATCAGCTTGTCCACAAAAAACTCCCAGTCCTGTTCAGCAG